AAATTAAAATTAATTAATTAATTAATATTTTAAACACTATTTATAAAAAATAAAAATTAATAACTTTAACACTTCTTATAATGATAATAATCACATCCATTTCCCCAATAACTTTGAGAAACAATTGTAATGTTTATTACTCTAGTTATTTAAAATAATAGATTGTATTTTTCGAGTTTTTGACTTCTTATAAAAGCGAGATAATGATCTAAAGAAAACAACTAAAGCAGTGCACAAAAAGAGTCTAGATTACGCAGGTATAAAGTGTGTCATCAGATATCCGAAAAGGAGGTTTTGATAGATCACAAAGATTTTTACAACTGGTTAACAAATATGCGTACATAATCTCATTCTATGTGTTAGGTAGTCCTGGTAGGAACCAATGAAAACACAATCAGCAAAATCTCTAGGGTCAAATCTCTGTTTCTTGTCAAGAGTTTTTTCCTTTTATTCACCATAAACAGATATATGAACATGGTTTTGATATTCTGACAATTGTGTATTTGTTTAAAACAATAATGGTTGATCTTTAGTTCTTGTAAGATGTTGCAGACTGTCCCCATGGTGGGAAGACGAGAGCCAATTCCCCAGTATGATGCTTCTTGGATTGGATAGGTCTCGTTTGTAGCAGTTCTCATTACCGCATGGCTTCCATCCTTCCCCTTTGATGCATGCTGCATTAGCAGTTATGTCATTTGCAAAAAAAGCACAAAACCAATCCTGCATAAGGAAAAATAATACTTTTACCATTCATAACATATATCAATTAGAGACATTGATCGATAACTATAAATAACATCATGTATACAATTACATATATTCAATCAATAAATATACTCTACCAAAATGCAAGGCTAACATAACCACAACGAAAAGTAAAAAGGCAAAAAGCTTGCATACCAAAGAATGATGAAAAGGCAATAGACATCAACTTTTGTCAATAAATCAGCATATCATTTGTAATATCATTATGAACAACTGGGGCAAATGGTGGCCAATCTGCAAAACAAAAAATCACAAGTCCTAGATTGTTGTGGCATGAATAAAAGGCTAATAGACCATAAAAGGAAATAGAAACCGGCCACTAAGTGGAAACTTACATAACATAAAATGCAAGTTACATCTTGCTAAATCCTCTTCTTTCCTACTTCACTTTTTGTGCTGTATATCCCAAAAGAAACAGATAGTGAAGCTTGTAAAAGTCTTCATGTTTCACAAGTTCAATCTTCTTCATATACCTCCTATTGCTGGTTAAGTTCAACTGCCATGGCCAATCTCCTTTTCCCACTGCAATTCCTATAAGATAATTTGAACAATGTAAATCAGAAAACCATAATCACTGCTAAATTTCATAAAACAAGTGGGAGGTGGTATGGATGGCGATGGACTTAAGCAAAAACACTAACCTTAAAACTGATAGCTCCCTATATCATTGAAAAAAAAAAGCTCATAAATTTGAAAGAAAAGAGGATTAACTCCTTCTACTTCATCAAGAGGATATATAACAACTTGATAGCTCCCTATATTATCATAGTCTTCATAATTTGAGAATTTGGGATATTTCTTAATAGAAAATAAGTGAAACATACCACAGGTGTCTTGGGGACATAGAGGATTGATGCTGGATCCTAACCAATTTGCCAAGGTTTCTCAATTCATAAGTAGTTGTCACATTAGATTCTTGAACAATCCCAGGAATTCCATAACTAATAGAAAAACACAAAACAGAAAAGAAAAAGAAACTTAGGAAGAAATTAGAACTTAGATTAACCTGTTGGATTCTGGAATGTTATCTTCAAATAGAAATTTTTGCTCTAGGAGCACAAAAACCAGAAGAATTTGGATGGAATAGAAAGCCTTAGATCAAAAACCAGAAACTTACATAACATTGATCTGAAGTTTCTTACACTTGTACATTCACCAAACATAGCTTCACACACCAACACATCAAACTCCTTCCTTCCTCCTGCCATGTTTGGCTATGGCAGCAAGGTTTAGAAAATCTAGAAGAATTTGGATGGAATAGAAAGCATTAGATTGAAAATTGGAAACTTACATAGCATTGATTAAGGCTTGTTACGCTTGTGCATCCATCAGAGATAGCTCTCAAACACCAACACATCAACTCCTTCCTAGCTCTTGCCATGTTTGGCTATGGCAGCAAGGTTCACCAGTCATCTCAGGACAGTATGATATGTTGAATGGTATGAATTAGACTCATGAAAGGAGCCCAGTAGCACTCAATTGATGCATTATACTCCTGAAACACATTTGGATTTGGATTTAGGGAGGGGGTTTAGAAGTTTAGATTGGGGCTAATCCACCATACATAGTAAAAGTAATAAATAAACAAAAGAAAATTGTTCATAATGAGATGCCATTTTTAAGGAAAATCTAACCTGTGAGTTTAAGTCTCCACTAAGAAGCTTTATATGGTCACTTGTAGGACTGCTAAACAACCAGCAAGACCATATTTTTCAAACAAACTCTTCAAGTAGCCTAAATAGATAACAATCATGAGTATGTGTCTCCATGCTTTGACTTGCATATGTGAACTTTAACTGCACTCTCGGAAAGGAAAAATTCACCTCTTTGCACAATTCATGATCATGACACCAAAAAGTTTTGTAGGAAACCTGAAAATGGCACCAATTTTTATCAAAAACTCTCTCGTACAAAGCTTTTAGATTAAGAACCCAAAAAGCACACCCAGAAACCTAAAAACCTCCTCTCCTTGAGGCCTTACTGGAGCTAATTTACTCGACAATTAAAGGGGGCTCATTTTCAGCCAATCTTACCCCATAACCAAATTATAAAAAGAACAAAGTATAAAACAAAAAAATTCAATAAAACCCTCATGAATACATAGAAATTAAGAAGCAAAAGAAAATGAAGAGAGTGAAATGGATTGGTCAAGTCAAAATACCTAGTGTTTGGATGTCTAACACTTTCTTTGAGGTCTGATTCTTCAGCTCAGCACATAATTTTCCAACCAATCTTTCTGTCATTGAGTAAGGGTGGCTTGTGATTTATTCGGAAAGTCGATGATTTCTTTGGAACTACAAAAATTGTTTCTTTCAACAACTAAAATAACACAAGATGGCAAATGATAGAAAAATTAAAAAAAAAAAGAAGTCTGTCTAGATAAGGTTAAATAAAAATAAATAAATAAATAATACTAATGTTCCTCCAACCGCATATATTAAACGATATTATCATCCACAATTTTTTATCTTGTTAGATATGAGAAAAGTGGAATATGAATCTAAACACAAGAACGGAATAAAGCTACAATCAAATCAAAATAGAGATAATCAAATCTAAACACTTACTGATTGGAGTTTGTGAGGGAGCAAAGGCTGCATTTCTTTGACTTCCAGAATATACCCACTTAGGGTTTCCATCTTAGACACGTCCGTCTCTGTCTTTTAGAATACCTTAATTGTTTTGTTGGGAGAGGATTGAAGGAATTATGGAAAAGGCTTTTATTGGCACGTGTTATTGAGGTGGCACGTGACTTTAATTTTTGGAAAGTTACTACTTATCTACTCAACAACTCCCTTTGCTTTTGCAGTTTACAGCTCTTCATTTCACACTGCACAAATTATTTCTCAAATTTTCAGCAACTTACTGTAATATATTGTCAAATCAAATCAAAATTAGAATTAAATAGTACTAAATTAATCAACACCTTACCCTAAATCCCACCATATGTTAGAATATTTCAAGAAAGGTTTAAGGAGGTTCTTGGCATTGGGATGATCCCACTCCACTGATTCCCACCATTCTTTTGACTCTTCATCTATCCTGATTTCTCTGAGACGAGGAGGAGGAGATGCTTGGCCATTATCAAGCAGGGGAAGCTGCACTGGGATCCTCTTTAACTCTCGACATCTCCGTATTCCAATTTCTTCGATTGAATCACAAACCATAACTCCTTTGGCACTGCAGATGCTCTTCAATTGCGGTAATCTAATCAGCTTCAATATCCTTAACTTGGGAAAAATGAATTTATCCGATGATGCATCTGAATCTGATGATGCTATTATCTCCTCCATTTGATCGCATCCATGAACAAAAATCTTCTCTAAGTTTTGAAGGGCCTGCTGTAACTCAAGTGGAAGCAATTTCCTCATTCCTAGACAATCTTCTATTGAAAGTTCTTTAAGATTGGAAAAGATGTGCAGTGGTGTTGTTGCTCTTTCCACTCTCACAAGTTCACATAACTTAGGCAACATTTGAAGGTCCAGTAGCTCAAGCTTATCAAGTACTGGACAACACAATGAGGAGGAGGAGGAGGATGAGTCCAACTCAACCACGCACTCTATCTCTTCACTTTTCCAAATACAGCACCGTCTCAACTCATTTGCTTCCATTTCTAACATAACCGTTTTGTTTAAGCTGCTTCTCATATTTCTACCCTCAATTATCCATAAATCCTCAAGGTTATTTGGAAGCGCTACACATTCTTCCCCGATCTCGCATTCAATAATTACAAGCTCATATTTGCTCCATCTCATCATGTCTCTTGCTGGCCCAACTCCAAGACTGTAAGCAATAGCACTTTGGAAATCTTTGAACTTGTTGACAAAATGATTAAAGTCTTGTATGCCATCAAATTGACATTCTAAAGTCTCCAGCTTCTTCAATCTAGCAACCTCTTCTAAATTTCTCATTATTGAAGTTTCTCGTAAACAAATTACTCCCAAGTACTGGAGACCTTGCAAACAACATACTCCCAAGTACTGGAGACTAGAAAGGTTAGGTAATATTCCTGTTGGAATCACTTTCAGATTTTGACAAAATAACAAATCAAGATATTCAAGACTTATCAACATCCCCATGCCGTGAGGGACCACCTCAATCCCTGCCTTGTGTAGGTCCAACTTCTTCAATCCCCTGAGGTTTGCCAAGGAAGGCAAGTACTTTAACTTCATGCAATGCTGTAACCGCAGGGCAGATAGATTCTCTAATTTAGAGATGGAATTAGGTAGAGTCTCAATAGCAGTGTTAGAGAGATCAAGAACCTTCAAAGCAAGCATCTCTCCAAAAAAAGATTCTGGAATCTCTGACAAATTAGGATTACTTGATAGTATCAAAGTCGAAAGGCTCAAACACTTTGGGGACAGACTAGGAGGAACTTTTAAAATGTTATTTTCCATTAGAGACAACTTCTTAGGATCTTTTACCCAACCATGCTCATCTGGTAGCTCTATCAAATTCATACCAGCTTTTATCATATATCCAAATTCAGGACCAATGTCTATGATAGCCATGTCTCTCACTACATCATGCATCTTAGCACCATAACTACCAAATGAATGTCCACCTGGGCTTGTAGATGACTGAACAGTGTCTTTCTCTAATAAGAAATTCTTTTCAAGCCTATCTACAATAGCATGGCCCCTATTACAAGCTGCTTCTCTACTTGGCAACCCACAAATCAATCCTTCATCAATCCAACATTCTATCAACTCCCTTTTAGAAAACACATAATCCTCCCGAAAGAGGGAGCAATAAAGAAAACAACTCTTGACTTGCAAACTATCCAACCGATCAAAACTAAATCTTAACCGCATAAATATCTCATCATTTGAATCTTTCACACTACTTACACGATCTTGTAATTCAGTTAGTGCATTTCTCCACACATTAACATCATCAACTCTCCTCATGCTCCCAGCTATCACAACAATGGCCAGTGGTAAGCCGGCACACTCTTCCACAATAAGCTTTAAGATTTCTTCCAACCCTGGAACTTGCAAAACACCATCCCCAATTGTATCGAGGAATAACTTTAGAGACTCCTCCTGTGAAAGAGGTTTCACTTCAACAATCTTACAACACAAATAACTGCATATTTCAATTGATCTACCAGTGACAACTACTTTGCACCCATTCTGCACATTCGGAACCGGAATTCCAACTTCCTTAAGAGAGAACTTTTGCCATACATCATCTAATATTACCACATACCTCACTCTTGTCATTATTTCCATTAATGCTGCTGCTCGCATCTTCACTTCTTCATCGTCTCGAAGTCTCTCGCCCATAGCATGAGCAATCTTCTTTTGTAATTTAAAAACATTGAGAGGATGTGATACAGTAACCCAGATCACTTTCTCAAATCTAGTCTCCTTTTGTAAATCATTGTGGAGATTCTCCATAATTGTAGTCTTTCCAACTCCACCAATCCCACAAACTCCGATCATTCCAACCTCATCACCCATCAAGTACCTCCAAATTTCTTCTTTGGTAGAAATTTCCCCCACTAAATTCTCTGTTGGAATTATGTTTCCATGAGCTGGAGCCCTCTCAATAACAAGGCCTTCAGGAAAACCACCTTTATCAAGCAGTTCCTTCAACATATTAATTTTTCTACAAACAAGTCTATCAAGACAAGCACGCTTGTACCACTTGACTCCCTGCACCCTTTCCAAAAATGCTCGCAGTTTAACATTGATCTCTTCTGCTTGCTTAAGCCATTCTTGCACTTGTTGTCTAACCATTTGTCCTCCGCGAGCCTCTGCTTCTTGTATTCTTGATTCTATCTCTTGTTTCTGGCTAGTGAGACTGTCCAATTTTCTTCTCAGCTCATCCACATCATCATTAAAATTTCTATGTTGATCTATACAGTTGCAGGTTGGAGTCCCACAAATGCAACTCAATGCACCAAAGATTGCCCCTACTATGTCCGCCATTAAAAAGGTCCTGAAACATAATAAATAATGTGAATAAAAATATACCTCTTCTAGTGTTCGTCAACAGAAAATTAGAAAGCATAAATAAACAATAAAAAAAAGTTAAATTAAATTACCAATTCCTTCTCATCAAAGTAACTTACAAATTCCAACCATATAAAACCATACATTATTAAAGGATATGGGAACAAACAACTATATATATTATATAAATGAATAAGCTAGTTGAAATACTAAATATTTATTATATATATTTAGCGGCTGATATATTCATCCAATTAAATAAATATGCCAATGGCTTAAGTAATGAACAAGGTTCCAAACTCTCACTAAATTCATAATTGTCTCAAAATTCTATTTTGCTCAAATAAAGCACTAAAGTAATTGAAATTCTCAAATAAAGTCACAATTAGACAAAAACTGTTGGCCTAACATTGTTAACACTAAGTGGCTATTGACTAAATATCCATTTAGAGTTTTTTATAATTGAAAAGTTCAATTGATTATACTTGTTGTGCCGTCAAGCACATTTTTTGGGAACATGTCGTCACTTTTATTATTCAAAACTAGTGCTAATTAATTGAAAATTTTCGGTTTAATTTGGGTTGGTATTCAAAATTATCCAAAACTACATATTTTTAAATTTGGCTAAACGTTGAGTAAGGTCCGTACTTTCACTAAATTCACAATTGAGATCCCAGAATTCATTACGCTCAAATAAGGTTATGAAATAAGGTCCAAATTGGACAAAATTTATTATTTGTTAAATTAGTCATTAATGTGGTTAATTATTCTAATTGGTTAAATATCTAAAATCCATGATCCCTAGCCATTCTACTTTATCTTGTAGTAACCTTAAAGGTTTCAATTACCTTGAAATGCTTCTTAAACTTATTTGTTTTAATGATGTGGCAATTTTGTAAGACCTATAATTAAAAATTAATTTTTTATTTTAATTACGTGACATTTATGTGGCCTATTATAAAACAGTTTCGTTATTTTTTTTAAGAATGGTAACAAACAAATTATATCACCTAGTTTGAATCCCTACCCATAAAAAAATAGTTAAATCAAAAAGGAACAAAGGAAAGGTGGTATTATAGACCGTTTACAAATTCATCATCATTTATATAATAAATAAAATTAAAAATTAGTTTTCATCCAAAAAAAAAAAAAA